ATAAAATTTCCCTTTTAGATTTAAGAGTTAAAATATGGAGGCCAAACAATATGTAAATGGAGCAATGCTTTCAAGCAATATTGGTAGGTCAGTTTGTGCCATAGGTAAAGTAACTTCAATGAATCCAAATGGTATGGGTTTTCAAATAATGCTTGCAGATGGAAAAATTGTTAAGGTTCAATTAGAAGAACAACTTGATGAACCTTTAGAAGGCTATGTTCAACTAATTGCTCGTGTAAATCGAGATACTAGCCTAACAGCCCAAAATTTAGTAAGTTTTGGTTCAGGTGAAATCGACTTGGAGATTTTTAACAAAACATTAAATACAATGACAACATATCCTGAGTTTTTTTCAAATGTTCCTGGAGTTGCATAGAGTATTGTTGTTATTATAAAATTTATATATAGATATAGATATTATAGTAAGCTGTTTTTTTTATTCCAATAATACTATATTTGTTATGAATATTTAGAGTGATTCTCTATTAAATCTATAAATATTAAGTAAATATTTTATATAATATTAAACTTGTCAATGTACACTAATTATAAGTTAAAGCTAGTTTACACTAACAGTATGTCATAGAATTAAGATATAATGAAATAATGCATTTAAAATTGACTACTAGGTATGGGTTTTTGGCAGACGATTCAGCCTAATCAAACTCTAAGCTTAACCCCAAGGGTCAGGGTTTGGTTAGGGCATGGTTTTCAAAAATATTCTTTTTGCTTAGGACTGTTTTACAGACTTACTAAATGGTGTGCCTGAAATACACAACTGACAGGTTTTTAAAGGTTTAAAACTTGGAAAAAAAATTTTTTGTTTTATTTATTAGTAGATTTTGCTAACTTATGTAAAATAAATTTTTGCATTGATTTTGTTATAAAGCAAAGACTTAACAATTATTTATTTAGTAATAGTTTTAGTAAAGTAATTCTACACAAAATTATTCAATCCATTGAACCTAGTGTTAATTTTTTTTCTTTTCTTAATGAAAAACTTGTTTTAGTAAAAACATTTCACCAAAAATGTAAAATAGTAAAAGCATTTCTTTAAAAAAATTTCACCAAAAATTTTAGGCAGTTTGCAGGATGTTGCAATTTTACTACTGCCTGGCATCCAAAACTTGGTTTTCACAACAATATATGTGTATTTTTTTATAATAAAATAAGGATTATCTATTACAGAAATATAATAATTATTTACAAAGATTTTTGTAATGCAAAGTTTAAATAATGCTCTAATAATAACTAATTTATTTAATGGAACTTTGAGGTCTAATATCTTAAAACTTTATTGAATAATTTTTTTGCTGAAGCATTTTTATTTACATATAACTTTATGGCAAAAAATTTTATTGAAAAAAGTAACAGAAACATAAAGAGCTATGATTTCAAATATATACTACTTTTTTCAAGAAATTACTAAAATTTCCAAATTCATAAACAAATTAATCCTAATTCAAGATTCTAATAATAAATATATAGGATTGATGTTGATTGATCAATTTAAAGGGTTAGATTAGAGGGTTATTACAAGTTATTTTGACTGTAGTTGTAATAATAGTTTACAAAGTTGTTCTCAGTTTGCTTGTACTTCTTCTGTTTCAGCTTTTTTTAAACATAAATTGTACTGGAACTAGAGGGTCACACTAGTGTAACATTTTTCAATATGTTTATATTGACAATGAAACAGTAGTTATCTCTTTTAGGTTTAAATATGCAGCTGGACTTTTTAGATTCAGGAACTTATTTCAACCCCTTTAAAGTCAAATTGTCATAATGCAGTCATAATGCTGACCCACAAATTACCAGTTTGAAATATATCTTTTTTTTTTTTTTTTTTTTTTTTATGGATACTACTTTTAATCATGGCTTATTAATTTTTTTATTGAAATTGCATTGGGATTTTCCAAAAATTAAAGATTTTCTTAAAATTAAATAAGTAAATTGAAGTGTAGTAAGTTGTCTGCACATTTGTATAAAACTTTTGTTATGTTTTTGAAAAGGTCATTAAAAAAATTTTATATAATAATTAAGTATTTTAATTTGAAAGCGACTTTTTTGTGATTTTCATTGTGTTTGCATTGAATAAATCACAATAAGCTTTCTACGATATATATATAATACATTTACACAGATTTTCTAGAATTTCTCTCTTATTAAGTTGTTAGGTTTGATATTTCAACATAACAGTTAGGTTTGATATTTCAACATAACAAGACAATCATTTTTTCTTTGTTCAATGTTTCATTAACATCTTATTGGACTTTGAATGCCTCTGATGTCATCAAACCTTTATACACATAGAACAAATCTGAATATGATATTACCCAGTAATTTACTTGGTGTGATAAAAAGAGGAAAGTGTTTTTTCAAACAAGTTAGTTCGAACAAAAATATTAATTATTTTCTTTCTAATTTTTCAGTAGAAAATTTTTTTTTAATGTAGTTAATTTTTAGATTGCTATTTTAGTAAATTTTTTTTTTTGTACTAAATAATTGAAAATGTTGTTAATTTTGCTCAAATAGAGTTTTACAAATGAATGTTATTCTTCAACTAAACTTTTTATAAATTATGAAATTGCCAAAATTAAAAGAATAATACACACTTGATCAGTTTTCATATGAAAATAGTTAATATATAAACAAAACAAGATTTGCTTTTAAGTTGTTCAAATAATTATCACACCTGATTTTGTAAGATTTTCTAAAATATTTATTTTAATACTTTCATATTTTTGCCATCGTAATTTTTCATTTTGTTAAAAAAACCATTTGAAAAAAATGTTATGAAAACCAATATATTTTAGGAAAGAGGGTCAATATTAAAGTTGCAATATATTAAATTGCTCAACATTTTAAACAAAAATTTTGTGTGTACTTTTCTTTGTACACACAAAATAAAACAAATAAAAAAGAAGAGAATTTATTTTTTTCTTGACAAGCACACAAGAAAAAATTGATTTTGCGAAAAACATAAATTCTACATTTTATGGTTTTAAAAACAAAATTTGGATGAATTTGTTTTTTGGTATTTAGTAAGATTAGGAATATTTTATAATTTTATTTTTATTTTTTAAAATTTATTTACCAATTAAATTGTCATCAAACAGTAAATTTGATCATATCTTAAGCTCAATAAATTAAAAACCGGGTTTCACCAAAATTACTTTTTGAAATTAAATTATGAGAAATTTCACTTAAAATTTAATATATATATATATATATATATTTATATATATATATATATATATATATATATATATATATATATATATATATATATATATATATATATATATATATATATATATATATACATATACATATATATATATATATATATATATATATAGGATAATTGGTTTATTTATTATTTTGATTTGAAATATTTTTGAGTAATATGTATTATAATTACTCTGTTTGTATGATTTAGGGATATTTATATATATATAACAGTAGTAGTAGTAGCAGTAGTAGTAGTAGTAGTAGTAGTAGTAGTAGTAGTAGTAGTAGTAGTAGTAGTAGTAGTAGTAGTAGTAGTAGTAGTAGTAGTAGTAGTAGCAGGGTGTAACAATTCACCGAACGTGCAAATGTTTGTTCAAAAAAGACAGAAAAAGGAACGTCAGGTTTCTATACTTTTAACTAAGCAAATGTTGACGTTTAGGTTTAAATTTTTAAAAACAAACGCATAACTTTAGCAATTTTTTTTCCAAATAACTATGCAATTGATAGTTTTTTATTTATTATAAAAAAAAAAACAAGTTGCTAAAATTTAAAATGCATTTTCAACAACTTTAAAAGAAACAATGCCAATACTTTCTTCAATAGCGTTAATTATGTATAACTGAAGCAAGTAATTATGTTTTATCATGGATTTTACATGTGTTTAAAAAAGCATGGGGAATTTTAGTTAAAATAAATGAATTGCAATTACTTTAAAAAACCATGCTAAAATATTGCTTTTTTCAAAATGTGTTTTTTTTTTTTAATTTTCTTATTATCATTAAATTAAAAAGTATTGTTTGCTTGCCCTTTTCAAAGTTTTGAAATTTTTTTTAAAGATTTGCAGAAATATATAACTTAATAGAATATTTAGAACTATTATAGTTTATTATAGCTTTCATTTTTTACTGTGCGTTTAACAACACTTATAATATGATATTTTATTATTAAATACTTAATATTACTATAAATAAGATAATATCATATTAAGAATATTTTATATAATAACTTATTTAATACTTAATATTATTATTATTTTTAAATGTTTAAAAAAAGGAATGTTAAAAACAACTTTTATTTTATTTTTAGTTTCCTTTTATTTAAATTTCATCAAGTTTATATGTTTTTTAATTATTAAATAAATTTAACAAACTAAATTGAGAAAAATTTACTATTTTGTATTAATGGATAACAGTTTACAGTCATAATGTTATTGCATATTAGTTATCATTAATTTGCACTGGTTTTGCAAACACGTGAAAAGTTGTTTTGAATTAATAAAAAGTTGATAAAATTCAATAAGCATCTTTAATATATCTAATTATTATATATCTTATTAACTAGAATAAAAGTTATTTGAAAATAAAACTCCCTAATAATTTAATAAGAAATTATTTGAATAAAAATAAAAGTTAAAAGAACTGAAAATAAAACTGGCACTGGCCAACAACACGGGTTTCGAAGTAGAAGTGCACCGCCATCTAGTTTTAAAAACAAGTCCTTTATATCTAAAATTTTTCTTTAAAAAAAAAAAGTAGGGGAAGATGTATGTTCCCTCTCCCCGTGTTGTTGACCCTGTTATTTGAGATACCTCTTAAATTAAACGTTCGTCAATAAATAAAGAAAAAAAACGTCAACGTTTATTTTTTAAAAAATTATCGCGCCCTAAATAGTAGTAGTATATATTTGTTACAACCTTAAAAATAATTGACAAAATAAATCGTAGATTGTCAGATTACAGTTAGTTTTTGTGAGGGTTATAGTTCAACTTCCACTAAGGAAAGCTGTGAGCTGTAGTAATATTATCGCTTATAAAGGCTTGCTTTGAAACTATTGACAGTTGGAGAATCAATTACTTTATCTGGTAAGTTGTTCCATGCATGCATTTACAATGCGGTTGTTTAAAAAGTTAAAACAAGCTAAATTGTTGCTATATTTTTCACGGTGAAGTCTCTCTCTATGATATGCTTTTGGTGGAATTGTGATAAGAGGAAAGTGCCAGTTGACTATGTCGATGTTAAATTAATCTTATATTTTTGAATGAGGTCACCTCATTTATGACCTTCAACTAGAGAAGTTAGGCCAAAGTGTAAGCATCTGGACTTGCAGTCTAACTTTTAAGTTTGTCTGGCATCTTTGTGGCTCTGCACTTTATTAGCTCAATAATTTGTTTATCCTTCAACAAATGAGGGTTCCAAGTTGGAACTGTGAACTCAAGTTAAGGACATACATAGCTGAAGTAGAGTTGTTTCCATAAGGAAGCATCACAATATTGGAAAGTGTGTTTTAGGATGTCTAGAATTTGATTTGCTTTACATCTGGTAATGATGGGTTGGGTTTCTACTTATAGATCATTGGTAATTTGTATTCCCAAGTCATGTTCAGAGGTGGTTGCTTCCAGTGTAGTTTAAGTTGTTATTGAACAAAGGTCTGATTTCTCCATTGAGTACATAATGTGAGTTGAATTTTTTTGACCAAAGTGCATGACCTTACATTTATATATATATATATATATATATATATATATATATATATATATATATATATTTATATATATATATATATATATATATATATATATATATATATATACACATATATATATATATATATATATATATATATATATATATATATATATATATACACATATATATATATATACACACACTTACTAAAGCGTGTTTTGATAAGCATTTGCTCACTTTTTCTGCTTACCTTAAGCCATACTGTTTTTTTTTCAAAAAAGAAGAAAAAACAAAGAATGATGAATAAAACGATTGCTTCCCCATCTTAAACCCTCAGTCGATGTAGCAGCACTCCACTGCGAGTCAGGCTATTTGTCAGTCGATGTATGTTCTGAAGCCCCCAGCAGCAGGCTATTTTAGTATGACGTCAGATTGGTTACCTTTGTACGCAATACTATTTGTATATGTGTATATATATATATATATATATATATATATATATATATATATATATATATATATATATATATATATATATATATATATATATATATATATATATATATATATATATACTAAAATGCGGTAGTGGTGTAGTGGTAGAGCGCTCGCTTCATAAAGGAGTGGTTCCGAGTTCGATCCCCACCACGTCCCTGGTAGTACCGCGCTCAACTCGTTTCTCCGCGTTTCGGAGTTATAGAGTTGAGAGAGGGTTATAGCCACAAAATAAGTAGCCTCCTCGTCTGTAGTGGCCTTGTCGGCCTTGAGGAGGTGAAGTAAAATAAAAAAAATATGTATGTATATATATATATATATATATATATATATATATATATATATATATATATATATATATATATATATATATATATATTCTTTGACATTCAAAGTAGTAGAGGGCTTTGAAAAACTGTTAAGAATTAACATGCCCATAATCATATAATATTTATTCAAGTAAAGTACCTCAGAGTGGTTAGTTTATTTGAAGAGTTTTTTATTCATGCTACTAAACAATCATTCATACTATCAACAGTGTTAAAGGCTGTCAACTTTATTGTTAAATTCTATCTACGTCACACAAAAAATAGTTGTTTGTAAATTATATGAAAGATATTCTTATAAAAATTTATTCATTTGTTAATTGTAAAACTTTAATATTATGCACTATATATTATGCTTCAATAAGTAAACAGTGTTTTCTAAGAAGTTTGGTAACTAATGGTTTTATCATTTTTACTATTATAAACCGAATTCATTTAAGTACTACTTTAGTTAAGTACTATTCTAAGTAAATAATTTGGAGAGTATTAAAAAATTTTAAAAAACATTATTGCAAGACTTTTTACAAGAGAGTGTTTATATGCTGATTATTATTTTGATATTATATTTGAAGATTAGTTTTTTAGTATTTACAATAAAATCTTTATATCTTTCAACTGTTAATCTACTCTTGGCCCAAAACTAGAGGAGTATTTTAAGTCAAAGTCAACTTCTCGTAGTGTTTGCCTAAAGGTAATTCATACAAGGTAGCAGGACATGTGGCAGTTGTTTCTGGTTTACATATTATCAGTAACAAGATAATCCTGATCTGGCCTGTCCTTGAAATGCTTTAATGATGAAATATTAGCTAACAATAAGCTATTTTGGACAAACTTTTGAGGAAGATTTATATTTTTTTAATTTAATTTTTTTAAATGTTTTTTTACATTCTAAGTTTTAATATATTCAATTAAATAGTAATAAAACTAATAATATTAAATATTTACATTGAAAATGTTGTTATTTTTTGAAACAATTTTTAATTTTTTTCTTACAATTTTATTTTTATAAGGTTCATAATAATATTAAACATTTTTAAAAAACTTGCTTTAAACTCGTTAACTCTTTTTTTCTTTTTTTTTCACCCTTAAAATTATTAAAATAAAAAAATATTAATATTTTAAACTATGCCAACTTTATGATTTTTTTTTCCTAATTAGATTTTTTAAGTGAAATTTTAGTGTTTAAGATATTTTGAGTGTGATTCTTGAATAAATTAGTTTTGTAATTTGTTATTTTGCATAATATTTTTATTTAATCAACTATTATATATTTTAACTTGAATTACTGTAAAACTATGTTGTAAAATTACAATATTGTTAATTTTAGTTTGTAATTTGCTTTCAATTTTATAGTTTATAACTTTTAAAAAAATATTTGATATTATGCTTATTTAGTTTATTTTTAGTATTTTAAAAAAAAAATGTCTTCAACATCTCAAAAACATCGTGACTTTATTAGTGAACCAATGGGAACTAAAGAAGTTACTGAGTTAGCTGGTATCGGCCCAACCTTAGGCAAACGTCTTTGTGATGAAGGATTTGATAAAGCATATGTTGTTCTTGGTCAATTTCTTGTATTAAAGAAAGACGAAGAATTATTTGTTGAATGGCTAAAAGAGGTATGCAATGCAAATAGAAAGCAAGCTGGTGACTGTTATGGTTGTTTGAAAGATTGGTGTGATGCATTTCTTTAGATATTGCGAGTAAAATCATTATTTTAAATTTTTCACAACAAATAAAGAGATTTTTAATAAGGATAAAAATATAAAAGCAAATCTAAATGTTTGATGTATTTATTAAGAATATCACTGTGTGTTTTTTCTATTATTTTAAATACGGTCATCTATTTTTGTTTTTCTTTGGTTTAAATCCTCAAGTGTTTATTTTTATTTAATTTAATAACAGGTTGATAATTAAGGTGAGAAACTGAAATTTTTATACTCATTTTGACTCAATTTTAATCCCCTTATTTTGTGAACTGAAACCTCAATATTGCATCTTTTACCTTTTAAAATTATAAAAAATATATTGCTTTCATTTTGATTAAATTTTAATAAGATATTCTTAAATGCATTGTTTATAACTTAGCAAATAAATATTTGAATATTTTCATAAATATTTGTTTTCAGCGGCTGTTTCGCATTCATTTTTTTGACTAAATACCAATAATTAATGCTTGCCGAACAGTTACCGAAAGAGTCACTGTTTTTAATAGAACTAGCGCCAACTAGTTCAATTAAAAAACCAAACAATTGAAAAACTGACTTTAAAATATAATTTCTGGGAGATTATATTTTAAAGATACATCATTTGGGAAATTTTATTTTAAAGATAAATTACTACTAATAATAATTTAAAATTTTCAAATTTGTTTTATATTTAAAAAATTAAATAGATCAATTTTTTAATTCTATTTTGCAAACCGCCAAAATGCAAACTTTTTTGCTAGTTTACCAACTTGTGTTCGGTACCCAGCTCAGATTTTTCCGGCAGTTTTCCTGGCTACTTTGAAAATATAGGTGTGTGAGGCACCCGGTTTGGATCCGGAAAAGACCGTCGGTAAAACGGGACTAAGATTAAAACACTAAATATTTGGTTGGTAAATTTTGAAAACAATTTTACGTTATAAGTTGTGATTAAAAAAAAATTTCGAAAAAAAATTATAATTCAAAAATTTACTATTACATTAAAGAAATTGGCAAAGAATAACCGAATCCTCTTAGAAATCAGATAATAGTCATTTTTCATGCAAAAATACAAATAATAAAAAAAGCCATTTTAAAAAAAATTTAGGAGAGACCGGAGCTAGTTGTATCAAAATTTAAAAAACTGGATTTTTTCTCCTAAACTTTACATTTTTTCTTCTAATTTTTATCAGGGTTATAAAATAGATCTTATTGACGGATTAAACCAACACACCGTTGTACGTTTTGGGTCAAAAACTGATGGCTTGACCTGACAAAATAATTAGCATTGGGTGAAAATACAATCATCCCTGGTACCTGGCAAATTTTGAAATCAAACTATTTCGTCCGCAAGAATAAATTCAATTTGAAATTTCTATTTTTTCTCAAAATAAAATCACAGCTTACAAGTTATCTTTGCATTTCTACAGTATAAACTTACAAGTTATCTATGCATTTCTACAGTATAAACATTTTTTTCTAAATAGATTTAAACTAAATTGAACAGAAAATAATTTTCTATTATATCTTCTTAAAATTAGGAAAAAAAAGTAAACACACATTCTTCAAAAGTGGTAAAAAGGTATTCTTAATTCACTATAGACTCGTCGACATTGAACAATCACAAATACTTGCTATTGTAACCCACTATGCAGCTTTTCAATCTGTTTGCATACTCAGGATGCCAAACGCTGAGGAAATTCAACATCGTTGAATTTCCTCAGCGTGTTGGCGATTTCCCAACTTGAAATGCAGCATTTGATTCAATAAGCTGCTGTTAAAAGGTCCATAATGATCAAAAGTTTTCTGCAGGCATTGCCTGCAAACTGCCCTCTATGGTAAGATTCTTAGTGAATATGCAGTTTAGCAGGCCATTCTTCTGCCTTTGGCCACAAGTCTTTCATTGCCTTGAACAAATGGTTGGTTACACCAAGAAGCAAGTGCAGCTCCATCGGGAGAAGAATGTCTATGATTAGTCTGTCATCAGATCCTGTCAGAATGGGCTCATGAACAACATTACCATTAACCTTTGCCTTCCTATAATCACTTCCTGATAATTTTAAATCATGATAGTTGGCTTTGAGTGATCCAATTGTTCTGCTCTCACCACATAACTCTAAGCTCTTTGATTCCACATTGCTAGACCTAGGAATCGCTCAGCAAATATTGAGCGGCGTTCAATTTGTCGTTCAGCAGCTTTTCATGAACGGACGCTTGCAAATCTACTCATAAATTTTTTTGAGCGGGCGCTCCGCTCATTCGCTCACAAATCAGCTCATAAAAAAGTTTCAATAACTTTTCCAATATTCGCTCTTTAAATTCAGAAAAGTTTTTAAACTAACAACTTTCAAAAATGAAAGTGAAACAACGCTAAACGTTAACTGCAGTATTAAAATAAAGAGGTTTCTCTGGCCGGTTACATATATGTGCTGTTTTAAATATAAAGTTAAATATTTGACCGCTACATGGTGCATTTCAACATGGAGTTAACTCCATGTTAACTAGTTCAATATTGGGCCGCTAGAAGGCGCAGAATGAGCGTATTTTTTGAGCGCTATCAAAAAAGCGTTCGGTCGCGCTCACGTTGATCTAACTTTACGTCGTTCGCGCTTCCGCTTCGCATAGAAATTTTGAGCGCCGCTCATGAGCGAGTTCAATTTGAGCGCCGCTCATCCTCGGTCTGCACATTGCACCACGAACAAGGGTGGGAACTGGAGTGTAATTGAAGTCCAAGGAGAAGCTACTTTCAAATCACAAGAAACAACAAGATCAATCTGATTTGGATTTATGAGTGACCAAATTTGCTTGAGGCTGTCATATGGCTCTGGTAGATTCTCAGCCATAGCAATGATTAGTTGTTGTCTAACACCGGTATCTTTGGCCTGCATTTGTGTGAGAAGTCGTTGTTTGTGGGGAGGTGAATGCAGTTCTTTAGAAGATTCATCAACAATCACACCAAGATTGAATTTTAAGAACCAACCTCCACTATCTATACCAAGCTTAAAGAAGTGGCAGCAGAAAATTTTTCTGTACATCAATACTTCATCAAGTATATTATGCATAGATTTGCAGTGAATGACCAGATGACCTCCTTCTGAATTTGCATGCATTTCTCCTCTGGATATTGTACTCTGGGTAAAAAAGTCTGAGAGAATTTTTCCAAAGCTGTCAAATTTTGACCGAAAATTTGGTTCTACCACTTTAACCCGTGCAACTTGGTTCAAGGCGGATGCTATATTTTTCATTCCTTCATCATTTCATGAACAAGGCTTTCTGTAGTGATTAGAGAATCATCAAAAAGTTTCCTTGCACATGAAGGACCAACAAGCAAATTGAATAAAGTAGTTGAAAACTTAATAGAAAGCAGGATAGTTAAAATAAGTTATGTGCCTTTTGATCCATCAATGTTCAAATAAAAGCTAAATCAAATTTAAGAAACAATGCAGTCAAAACATTAAGAAATGAAACAGTACCTGGTGTAACTTGTAAGGGAGGGCCTCCTCCAGGTCTTAACATCCGTATATGCCATTGGGAGATGATTACTTTCTTGAAAGTACTTGAGTAGCAATTTATTGTGCAGTATTTATATCTTGAGCTGGCAAAATTCTCATATTTTCTCTAAATGTGGATGGTATGCAGAAATGAGTAAGTCCACGTCCAATAAGGCTTTGGCAGTCACCACACCTTCGAAGCTTCTCTCCTTCTTGGTGGGGAGTTAAAAGAGGGTCTTTTTGGTTGAGCTTTAAGTGCTCAATTTGGCAAATAAGGCAACAGCAGTCTTGCCCACGAGTTGGTGGTTTCACTGTGATGGATGAAAAATCAAATAAGACTGGAAGTTGTGTATTTTTCCCTGCATCTTCTTCTTCTTAAAATTTCCAAAGGCTAATAGTAAGTTGTTGTCTTCTTCTTAGATGTTTCCAAAGGCTAATAGTAAATTGTTGACAATCTTTGAGTTTGAAATTGTGTCAGTTGATTTGTACATTTGTGGAAACACAGGCAACAAACAGTTTTCCTGCATTCCTCAGGATTCTTAGCCCGATTAGGCATTTTAAGTGTTTTTGTATCAAACTTCTGTTTAGCAAACTTTTAACAAACTAAAATGATAGCAAGGCTGTTTCCCGAAAAAAATTGTTTTATAAGAAAAAGAGTTGCAATATTCTAATTCCCGAAAATTTTTTATAGAAAAAGAATAAACAAATTTATTATTTGAGTAAAAAATAGTTATTTTGTAAAAACATATTATTTATTACTATTTCACATTCACTAACCAAAAAATTAAAAGTTACTGTAAAAATGCAAAAAAATTTTGTAAGCTGTCATTTCATTTTGAGAAAAAGTAAAGAGAAATTTCAAATTGAATTTATTCTTGCGGACGAAATAGTTTGATTTCAAAATTTGGTTCCCAGGTACCAGGGATGATTGTATTTTCACCCAATGCTAACTATTTTCTCAAGTCAAGCCATCAGAGTTTTTGACCCAAAATGTACAACGGTGAACATTCATATATATAATATAGAACTTCGTTTTTCTGCAATAGTGAAACAAAAATGAAAGAATGTTGCAACTTACCCCGTACCGGAGCAAGTTGAAACACAATAATTTGAAAGCCTCGCAGAATTTAAAGAAATATTACAAGTTAATCATTAATTTCTATTTGGCAACAAAATGTATATAATTACATTAAAGGAAAATAGTATTTTCATTGAGCTGCAATACTTTTATGATTAGAGACTTCACTTACAACTAACCTGTTTAGTAAACTGATAATTGTATTCAAAGATTTCAAAGATCGAAGAAATGAAACAAGAAGGATTATTATTTAAACTAATTTAGTTATTTAAAAAAAATTAAAATTCTAAAAAATAAAATAAATGTTAAACAAAATTTCATTTAAACAAACAAAAATCAAACAAAGATCTAAGTTATCAATAACAACAAAAAATGATTTTCCTTGCAATAAACATTCATTAAAGAACAAACAATTATTAAAGAAACAAAAGAATTAATTACATCTTTAAAAATAACTAGAAAAGTGTGTAAAATCAATAAAACCCGCATTTATTTTATGATTCAACATACTCCAAGCGGTTTGTTGCAACTTACTCCGTAGTCATCATGATCACTCTAATCAATGTATATAATTATTTACAATAAATA